TTAAACCCTAGATTATATTTGTTTCTAAACTTAAATTCAATGAGTTACAAACCTGTGTCACATCATGACTGCTTGATGGATTTTTGTTTAACCAAAATGCTGGAATAGTCTAACAAAGTCATTAATAGAATTAAAATATAAACCGACAGAAAGACCACTTGTTGCAAAGTAATTTCAAGCTGGAAAAATCGTAAAACACAAAAATCTTCCCAGATGTCAGAAACAATTTGAGCAAAATTACCATGCAACGTAAAAAGTAACGAAAAGCAGATGCATTTGGCAACAGTATTATCTGGGATTGAAGACAACTGAAATAACACATATGTTTCCAAGCAATGGAAAGTAGATATTTATCTAAAGAAAAATGCTCAGTTCTGAGAGGCTGCAGAATTTGAATATGAATCATGCAATGCACTGAAAATGACAACTTAGGTTGAAGGTTTGTGTTTTTTGACTGCAAAAGTACAAACCTTCAGAAAAACCTTCACTTCAATATAGCCTTAAATAAACTCACAGGGGCCATGAAGTACAAACTGAAGTGGAATTCTACTTTTTAATTATTTTTTTTGTTTGTTTTTGTCTTTATAGCCTATAATTTTTACAGAAGTACACTGAAAAATCTTTTTGCCACTAAGATTTTAGATTATTAGGTTATTATCACCTTTAAAAGAGAAAGCTATAAGTTTAACTTCTCTAAGCAAGTAGGAGAGGAGTTCAAATGTACTTTTTTGCCAAACGGTTGCCAGATCCGGCAAATATATATGTAAAAAAAGATGAGCTATGCTATCTGTATTTAACGAGCAGCTGCTGTGGTGTTAACAGTGGACTTCAAACCAACCGAATCATTTCACATGAACTCACTTACAAAATAACCTGACAAACCTGCATTTAAGATACTATTCCTATTGGTGCAGAATCACATCGTGTCTACGAAAGAATTTTAAGCAGAGGTAAAAAATTCATAGATTTTTGACCCACCAAACTATTATCTAGATGCTATATATTTTTCTTTCAGTAAATCAATGCTTTTACTCTGCACCACTCTATTTATTTTCTTTGGATTTTTCGTATTTTGAACTATCAATCATTTTAAAAGGAGAGGTGGTAGCCATGACCTTTAAGTTTGGACAGAATTGGCTACTTATGGTTTAGATACCAAGGTATTTTAGGGTTATGTTTTTCGAATACTTCATTTCACAATTTGTACACTGTCTAAACTATTTTAATTCTATTTTCTACCAATTCATAATAATTAGAGCTAGTAGGCATTAGAATATTTACACGTGGCATATCCAGATAAGAAGCTTAGAAAAAAAAAACACCCTCTCTGTAAAATAGACTGTTTCTTTTCCCCCTTCAGTTACTTATTTCAGCTCACCTCCATCAGTGCTCATTCCTCAGGGTATTAGTCCAATCACGCAGCAGGAAAGAGAGTACCAGCTGTTATTTACCTCTACCATTGTCCCCTTCAATTTCCTGTACCTACCTTTGCAAATTCCCCCTTTTAGTCTTTTTTTTTTTTTTACATCCATCTCCATTGGTATACTTAGGACAGTAGCAAGGAGCTTGAAAGGGCATGATTACAAATTAACAAGTTTACTCAAATATAAATATATGGACAAGACAGACAGTAAAAGCACTGGAATGTACATAATTGCCTCAACTTTGGTAACAACTCAACAGCAGGGCTTCTGTCAGCAATGTGCGTATGTGAAATGATTTTATCTGTCTTTTTATATCCTTTTTTATCGTTCTCAATTCATAAGGAGATGGGGTGTTTAGTCACTTGGGACAAATGAAATAGCCGTGAAACAAGAGAAACACAACAAGTTTTGACAAAGACATTTAAAATGACGTTAACACTACTTTGTTTCAAGTTTCTCTGATTTGTACTGCTTAGTTACCCAGAAAAGAAAGCATATCTCTGTTTAATTCTAAGGATTATGTGCCCTGTGATTCAGTGGCATGTGAAGACATGCAAACATTGCTATAAATGTTATGAAATGCAAAGCATATATGGATACAGTGACCCTGCAGGCATGTCTAGACATGCTAGATTCACTTGCCTCTGGATGTGTAGTGCCTGAAGTGAGTTATTCCAAAAGAGATGTAAAACAATCCACTGGACTTTGTTTCCAACTTCCCATTCAGGAAGCTTTTTCAATTTTGATTCCTGCCCGCTATCATCGCAACCTCCAACCCTATACAGAGGTCCAAAACATCTCAAACTGTTCAGCCAGGATCAACAACTCCCCGTAACAAACCCCCTTTCAGAGACATAGACAGGTATCGGGTATTGCAGGCTAACAAAGAACCCAAACGGCTCCCCATTCCTAAGGGGCGGACCCGTTCGTCCAGTTCAATTTGCATGTTTCTAAGCCAAAACAAGGCTTTGTTTTTGGTCCTCTCTATAAAGCCTTGAACTCAATGCTATTTCTGACATTTTGATTTTAAAGCGCTTCCTGCATGGGATGAAAAACATCTTTAAACTTGGAAACAAATTCCAGGGGATTTTTTAAATCTTTTTTTGAATGACTATGACCTGAATAACCGATAATCTTCACTAGCATACTGAAGTGACTGAGATAGCATGGTACCACTTCTTATTTTATAATATATTGTTAATTATTTAGGTGGTAGCTTCTGTTCTGGTGTGGTCTCCTGCATAATTGCAATAATAAGTATATATCTTTATCTATCTATCTATCTATCTATCTATCTATCTATCTATCTATCTATCTATCTATCTATCTATCTATCTATCTATCTATCTATCTACATAAATATTTATTGCAATTAAAAAGTCATGAAGTCTTATCAGTTAAATCACAATTCTTTTATATAATTTTACAACAGCAAGTATAGTGTGGTTGCAAAACAGCAGGAACACAAAAGTAATCTAACATTTTGTCATCACTGGATTGTCACATGCTTCGTTCTCTTCATTTGTCACCAGCTTGAAATCATGTCAGAGCTATCTCATGTGACACTCCAATCTAATGCATAATTTCAAAACATACAAGGCGACCTCTGTTTGTTTGTCATTAAAGGACACTGTGGGAAGACGTTTGCCATCATGAGACGTTTTCTGAGTGAAGCCGTTCCGAACGTTGATTGGCTCCTTATTGTTGATGATGATACTCTCATAAGGTAACAAAGAAAAGGGTTTAGGTTTATCTTTACTATCCACATGGTGTTATTTTAAAAAATATGGGACAAAAAAAATGCATTTTACTTTCTAGTGATTGTTAAAAATGAGAGTACTGTCGATATCTATGCAATGAGGATTACATTTTTTAAAATATTTTGAGATATTTTAAAGATTTTGAAATGCAGAGCTTTCAAACCCAAGAATGGCATGCATTCATAAATTGAGATATAAAAAAAAAAAATCTCACAAACGAGATTTTATTTAATATTCTCAGCAATTAAGTTACAGATGGGCTTCTACTGTTGAAAGATGCATATTTTCCCATAAAAGAAATAAAAGATATCTTTATATCTCATATACTTTAAGGCATATCTTGGCCTGCAGCTTTTTACTTTTGTTTTTGTTTTGTTTTTTATCTTGACAAAAACAATAAACTTCTAATGGATGTTTTAAACTCTGCTAAAGGTGAGTATAACCATGGGAAAAAACACAAAAGCAACCATTTTTTTAAAAAATATTGTTGTAAATAATTCTCTTTTATTTGGAGTGAAAGAAATAAGATCAAAAACACCCAGAAACGTTTCTGCGATGCACTCTACTCCTCCTAAACATCTAATTATGTTTGTAAAGATTCATGGGGTGTTACTGCTTCCTTCTGATAATCTGAAAAAATCTCTTGTGAAATAATGATTTGTTTATTTGTCCTTTTGGCTATTTGCAAATTAAGCATGTTTTATTTGTGTGTTTGTTTATGTACTCATCGTTGTTTATTTTTAGTTTGCCCCGGCTGCGGCAGCTGCTTCAGTGCTACAACCCAAAGGAAGCAGTGAGCCTGGGAGAAAAATATGGATATGGCCTGATGCAAAACGGATACAGCTACACAACAGGAGGTGGCGGGTATATGTAGATATTTTTCTGTCATAATGGTTCATTAATTTTACTTTGACTAATAAAATCCTCTGCAGCAGGAATTTTATCATGCATATTTGTTTTGCACTCAGTTAAATCATAAAATTGTCTAAGAAAAATCTGTGCCCAGTGATTTGCTTTTGTGACATAAGCTCATAAATATCGAATTTGTTGTTATTTTGTACTGTCAACCCCACATTGTGTCTTTCTGGATATACGCACCTGGATAAGTAAAAGTGCACCTTATGCAAGGATGCTAATTTATTAGCTTGAACTATTACCCATGTCCCACATTGGAAGCATAACTAACAGAAATTAATAGAAGAATTTTGTTTCCATCTCACAGACTGTCTTACTCTTTGTAAGTACTTGATTTTGGCTTGATTTTCTTGTGGTTTCAAGTTGACTAGTGCTTGTGGGATCCAAAGATATTTGTAGCTATCTTCACCATCTGGGATGTTACGATCCTATTATTGTAGCCCTTGGGCAGCTATCACATTGCTTCTACCATCTGGCCATACTAGCTGCGGTTGATTGGCATTTCAATGATCTTACTGTTTGTCTTTGTTAGATGTATCTGTGAGTTGATTTCTCGCTCAGTGTGGCATAAAGTTTGATGTCAGGCCTGTAGAGGAGGTGACTGATGGTAGCTTCACTTTGAATCAGTAACCAGAACAGCTTTTTGATTTTATCTGATCAAGTGATTTCAGACCTCAGCAGAACAGCCATAAAAAGTGACACCTTTGTATATCAAATTGTCTTTCACATTTAGGTCTCTAAGTATCTTGTTTGTATTATACAACATACAATTGAATGAATGCCTGCATACATTTAACCTATAGTTTATCTTAATACATTACTTGCTTTTATTTGAAATTCTTATAAACTCTTCCTCTTGCTAGAAAAATAGAAAAAAAAAAACACTGCTGTAAAATTGTTTTTTTCAGCTTTTTTATTTTTAGAACTTACTTAGACTTATACAAGTTTTATTGTCATTTTGTATACAAAACGAAATTTCTTTTTTTACAGCTTTCATGACATTCCCATTTCTTAAAATGCAGCAGTGATCAAATGGAAACAGTGTGGCAAAAAAAATCATGTTGCAAAAAAAAAATGCATTGATTTGGAAGTTCGGAACATTAAATATATATGGTGGAATTATGCAGTATTTTTGGTTTGGTGTGGTCAGTTTGATACAGAGTCTTTTTTTAACAGTTCAGCTGTTTGATGGCAATGGGGAAGAAGCTGTTTCTGAATCTGCTAGACCTGCATCAGATGCTTCGAAGCATCCTCAGCTTTAGCTTGTTTGTCAGAAATCTGTTTCACCTTTGTTGTGCATATCAGAGAGAAGCTGCTTGCAATCATGCAGAGGATTCATGCAGCTCAGAGATGGAGTTAAAGCAACATCTTTGGGACGAAGGTTGGAAAGCTTGTGTGGTATGCACAGGGAGGCGTGTACACTCACTATAGATATGGGAAGTAGTTGTCTTCATGTAAATGGATGGAAGCATTTAGAGTTCCCCATTTTTTGTGTGCGTTTAAGTCACCGTGAGCTCTTCTATGGGATAGACCTCATATCTATCCAAGGTCTCCCTCACCGGTTGGCCGTTCACTGCATAACAATGATAAACAATCATTACACAGGATTTGTTTACTCTACTAAACTTTAATTAGACTTGAAGGAGTAAAACTATAAACTTTATAGAATGAAGATCACAAGCTTAATAAACCTAGCATATTAAATTAGATCTGAAAAAATGTTTCTTTTCTTCTAGGAAAATTATTTTTTATCTCACAAAATGCATGTTCATTTGCAGGATTGTACTAAGTAGGACAGCGGTGTCCAGACTGCTCTCCAGCGGCTGCAGCTGCTACAGTGATGATGCTCCTGATGACATGGTCCTGGGGAGGTGCCTTACTTCAATTGGGGTTCCCATCACACACAGTCCTCTGTTCCACCAGGTAGAAAGCACCACTAGATTGTTGATGCTATACTCTTTTATTAACAACTCACAAAAGAAAAAAACATCATTAGAATGGCATTTAGTTTCCCAAAAGATTAGGTAATACCATAGATCCTCAGTGAACTACAAATCTAACATCCATCCATCCATTTTCCATCATGCTTATCCCAAGCGGGGTTGCGAGGGGTGGTGGTGCGTTTTTCCAGCTGTCTATGGGCGAGAGGCAGGGAGCACCCAGGACAGGTCATGAGTCCATCTCAGGCAAATCTAACATTAAAGGCACACTATGCAACATTTTTCAGTTAATTAATGTGTTCCATAACGTTTTGGATGATTAAATGAGT